TGACTTCTTGAAAGAACTCTTAAATGGTTACTGCTTCCTCAAATAAAAGCTACTTCACATGTGCTTTCCTTCCTTAAAAATACACTGAACGGAATTATGTCTGAGTGTCAAATTTGTACTTCTCACTGGCCTTTTGAGACATTTGAAAGACATAGCTGAGAAAGAGGAAATTAACAGATCAGGAAATAATCTATAATAAATCAAATTGCAGTCATTGTAGTCTTATATTTTTGGTTGTTGTTGCTGCTGCTATCATTAGATTGGTTGCAGGAAAGCAGAATTCATCAAACTTTCCAAACACAATGCTGTGTCCTCCAAATCAGATAGCAATATTCAATCTGGTTAATTTGCATTGAATCTTTCTCTGTCTTCCCCCCTCCTCTCCTCTCTTGAAGTGATGGATGTTTTAAGCTGAAGTCCAGATACCTCAATCAACTTTAATAACCCCTGTTTGGTTTCAGAAGAAAGGAAATGGTTTGCAATATCCTGAAGTCAACTAGACCCAGTGATTATTTCTTTCCTTTGTATCTTCCATCTGTGTAGATCAGCTTTAACCCAAAAGTTATGATATCGGGTATAAGTGCAGTGTTGTATCCATGTTAGCAGGGCCTACTGAAATGAAGGGTATAACAGCTCAGACTTCAACTAGCCACTTTAGGGCAAAGACAGTCTGAGTTCTCATTTGCCTCACTGGACCAGATATGTTGGTGCAAAGTTTCAGGTACTTCCTCAGGTCACTTGGGCTTAGAAAGCTTAGATCAGTCCAGCAGGAAACAGAAACAACATCATGAGCAGAGATGACCAGTAGTACATAAACTATGGGCAATGCATTACAAATAATCCTCATAATCAATGGGTAATGTAGATTTTTATTTGTTTGTTCAGTGAAAGAACTACATTACAGACATATAAGCACTTTCTAAGACAGTAAGACTGAGAAATATCGTTGATGCTACTCTGTCAATCAGTAGTAGTGGAATGTTTACACACAAGGCCAGTTCCATGCATTGCACAAATCAATATAGGATTGAGCTCATGTTGAGTCATATCATCAATAACTGTGCCATGCTATTTTCATTTTTGTCACCTCCATCTAAACACAGTCCAACAGTAGCTGAGAGAAGCAGTGTGAACCACTACTTAAAATTCTTCCACTGAAATGAGGGAGAGTCAATGTGATTTCCATGTCTTTGCTGGAATTCATTCCCTCTCTGGATACTGCCAAACCAACCCAACCAGGGATGACTCATCTGCAGGGCCTCATAAAGTACTTCTGAACGGCTTGGGTTTTGCCTTTGGAATGCACTGGATTACACCAAGAGATTGCGATGCTCTACTGTGGGGGAAGAGGACATCCCTGACTCTTCCCTACAAGGACATTCCCCATCTGCACTCTGCAGTATGAACTACATGCTCAATTTATTCCTCACTACCTAAGAAAAGCATTGAGTGTTCATTCCTTTGGCAAATGATATCACCCTTCCACTTTGATTTTGCTTCTGAGAGAAAATTTTTTTGCTTGCACAGGAAAACAAATGAACAAATTGCCTGATCCCTCACTCTTCCTTGTTTTCCCATTTCTAACCTTGTGGTAAAGAGATGAATGATGAGTTATAGAGGAAAAAATCTGTGGGAGTCCCAACAAAAACACTGTCAGCACATCACTGGGTAAAGTAGAAATATAAAAACCCAAAAGAAGGGCAAAAATAAAAGAAGTAGAAGAAAAGAAATATTCCACATGAGGAGAGAGTAGAAGCCAGTAAGACTGTTTTGTTTAGAAAGGATCTGATAGATCAATTGGCAGTTCACATGAATTAATGGGTAAACAAGTCCACTTTGCTGATAGTAATTTTTCTCTCAATGCATATTAACTAAAATTGAACCCGATATTTGTAGCACAACATACTGTAGAGATAGGAAATTTACTACCACCTACATTGTATTAATGAGCCAACAACCTAATATGACTTTAAATTGGGCAAGACAGTGACAACAGCTAAGATAAACATTGACAGAACATATCATCCCTCACATTTGAGGACTGATATCAAACGTTTTGCTGATTGGAGTTAGGAAAAAACATCATCGCTGGTAGATTTTTGCATCACTGTCTGCCATGGCTGCATGTCTGCCAAGCACCAAAAACACAACAGGCGAAGCCTGTTGTCCTGATGTTATGACAATTTCAATGATCCCATGTAAAATTACAAAAAGTCATAGAAAGAGGTAAAGAAAATCAAGAAATTCCTTGTTAATCATCTTACTTAAATCTGTACAATATACTAGGAAAGACAGAAAAACATTATGGTTCCTAGCTTCAAGATTTTACCAGATGTGCGCAAGAGGTATCTAAAGTTCTACCTGCTGAAGTTCAGCCAGCCCTTTAGCTGTCCAGAGATGTTCCACACATCTATTCCTATTGATGTATCAGAACTCCTGAGGTGGAATTTCTTAGAAGTTCCTCAGAAATGGCTTCATAAACCAATTTATTGCCTTGGCTTCGCAGAAATGGCCTGCATGAGCTCCTCGACAGTGACATCTGAAATTAATTTCTACTTCCTTGTATCTCACTCTGTGAGCTCAAAAATCAAAAGGCAAAAGGTACATTAGTCAGCACCATATCATATTTATTAAGACCACATTTTTATAGGAAGTCTTTGGAAACAAAAATAGAGTTGTATTAGGAAAATACACCCCAAGTCCTGGGTGTTTCCTACATGGGCAACCTAGCTGTAATGATATGGTGCATGGTTATCTCTAGCTGCTGGGCTAGACTGGTACAAGGTCATGTTCTGCAGAAGAAAAATTGGGCTTGTCTCACAGAAGACCTAGAGAAATGACTGAATCAGGACTGAATAAGGGAATGTTTCTCTTGCAAAAGGGTAATATAAATGATATGGGGCTGACTAATAATATAGTTGGTTTCCACTAACAGAATAACATGATGATCTACAGAACCGAATTCCAGACTCTGAGCTAAGATAGGGTGGTTTTTTTCTTATTTTCCATCTGAGTCAGTTAGAGCAAAACCTGTGTTCAAGAGACAAAGTCTCATGCTTTTTGCTTCCCCATTTAAGCTCATGTGGGTATTCCCATCCAATCTGAGATACAGAAGATACTCCACATGTCACAAGCCCCATAATCGTGGTTCAGACATGGTTGCAACTTGTAACGGACTTACAGTGTAAATTATCTGTGCACAGTTTGACCAAGAAAATAAGTATTTTTCATGGACAGATAAACTGATTTCATTTAACTGAAAGATAACGAATCCAGGATGCATGTGAAAACACAGTGCCAGATGTGTCTCTCAATTTACAAGTTTTAAGATTCTAGTTCTAAAAAGGGGGACAACCAACTTAATGGGAGAATTAGACAGAAGCTGAGCCAGGCCAAATCTCTGGCCACCACTTTGTCCTACGTGTGTTTTTCTAATGGAGAGTATAGCCTGTTGCAGTGTTTTATATTTTGTGAGTCATACCTCCTCTGTTTCAGTGTACCTACTTTTATAACTAGATAGAATTTTTAATTAATGGAGCACATTGTTATGTCTGTAGTCAACCTCCCCTTTATGCACTCAGAAGGGCTACCTTGAATCTGGTTATTATTTTGCAAAACCAGTCTAGTTTAAGGATTATTATTCCTGAAAATGCAAGGGACAATCTCTTCAATATTTTCTTTAAAACATTCAGCTGCATGTACATCCCATAAGAATTTGAACATGGGATCTGAGCTAAGTTCTTAAGCAGGTTGAAAGAACACATCACTTTGCCGAATATGATATCCAGAAAAATGCAAGTTCTCATTTCAAAGGTAATACGCACACACACATACACATGCATACATATAAAAATCTGTATGGCATATTTGCTGTGTGGGCCTAGACTGCTTGTGAAGTTGTTTTTCAGTATAGCAAATTAGAAAAACATGCCCAGAATTAAAGGTTACTTAATCGGGTTGAAGCAGTAACTTCAATTCCAGCAACTCCCTCCCACTAAGTTACATCTGATAATGTACCCAAGTCCAAACATAAACTTAGTTCAAAAAGATGTTTGGTCCTTGAATGTAAAATGACACTTAGCTTACACAATTAGCCAGGTAATACATATCCTTCCAAGAGAAGCAATTTTTACCACAGAATAATCTGCATTTTACTAATCTCTGATTGTTAAGATTTACTTGCTGAAACTTTTCCATATGGCTTTTTGAATACCACTGTCCTGTATTTAATTACCATGGAAGGATATTAATGAAGAGGTTGGAAATCTGGCCTAAGCCCTGTTCCACAGTTTGGACAGTTTGATGGAGACAGAGCCGATGAGCAGAGCATTTCTGTCAATATGGGGGCTGTACCAAACTACACACAAAAGCAGCAGCAAAAGAGAAGTAAACATACCCATAGAAATAAAACACCCAGCTATTTTAAAATTTTCCATAAACTTCTAAAATAGTATATTCATAAAGTAGCATTAAGTGAAGTGAAACTCTGGTTTGCTAACCTAAAGGACAGTCAAACAGGAATTGGAGTAGTCGCTGTAATCGAGACTGTTCTTATCAAGCTGTAAGTAAGATGCATGCTCAGAAACGCGAAGCATGCTTCCCAATTTTAAAGGCAAAACATGATATTGAGCAGAACCAAGGCAAGGGTAGGCCGCTTGGAGTGCAGAGGATGCGAGGAAGCAAATGTGGGTGGGAAAGCATATGTTGCTGCCTGGATGAGGAAGTGGTACACCACAGTTACTTCATAAGTGCAGGGGCTTTATAAACTAAATCTCCTAGGGACTGTTTTGAATAGACAAAGAATGACACGCAGCCCTGACAGGCTTTCAGTATTGTTTGAGAAGGCTGGTTGCCTTCTAAAAACACTGGACTGCTGCTTGTACTTTTTCCAAAAAATGCCTATTTTTAACCTCAACCTCTTCATATAAACAGTGGGCAGATGCACCCTGTAGTAAACTCTGTTTTGTCTAGCATGAAATTAATGGCTTCCTCGGTCTTACCTGACAATGGAAAACATATTCCGGTGTGGTTTTCTTGAACTTCATGTTCCATACCAAGGCTACCCCATCAGGTTCATGTGGAGCATCTTCATTATTGTTATAAGATGCAACCATCAACTCGGGATACTAGAAAGAAAACGAAAAAGCAAATGAAATAAAATGGATGATGAAGGACCTATGCAAAATCAGATGGGACAGAAATAATCCGACACAATGTGTGATATCTGGTTTTAATTATATTACACGCCAAGTCCAATCATAGTATTCAGCTTCAATTTGGATTTATGTTTTACTCATCCCTGACATCCTTAAAGCCCCTGTTCCTTGCGCTCTATCATTTATTCTCAGACACCACAAAGGCAATGTTATTTTCTGCAGGTAATTCTCAGAAAAGAAAACTAGCAGGATATTCATAAAGGGAATGCAAAGTGAAGAAGAGAAAAATCTGAAAGCTTGAGTAATTCTAATCCATTTGCTTAACCATTTCTTCAGGGACAAACCCTTGCCTTAATTGATTTTGATAATAAAAACACTTGACTTGTTTTTATTCTGAAATTCACAGTTTTTTCAGCATCCCTGAAAACTGTTCTTTCTTTTTTCATTATGCACTGTTCCTATTCACTGATGCATAGCATCAACTTAAAAGCTCTTCCTGATGATTCAAATAGCAAACAAAACATTTTCTTTTGCAGAAGCTCAATTTTGCAAGATGCTGAGGTCATCTTGTAAAGCACAGAGTGACTTTGAATTCCACTGACTCAGTAAGATTGTTGCAATGAGGACTCTAAAATCAGATCCATATTTGCTTGTACACCCATTATTTGGTGATGTGTAGAAGTAGATATGCAACACACACATATGTATTTGCTCTGTTTATATATATACACATACACACATAATATCATATATGAAAAGTCAGATTTTTACATTGTTAATGACCTTGCAAAATTTTAAAACACCATAAAAAGTAACAATTTGACCACAAAACATCAATTATTCTCTGCCTATACAATAACACCCAGTTTACCACTCTCACGTTTGACACAAGGCATCTCTGGTAGCCTCTGTCTTTCCCTCTTAATAGCCAAACTAGTACAGTGGACCTTATGTCATGTCCAGAGAAAAGCACATGGCTTCCGCAGACCAGCGAGCCAGCAGCCCAAGCTCCACAAGACCCACACCCCCCTCTTGTAAACTAGGAATGCTTTCCCTCAAAATTTCTCAATGATCTCCATAAATCAGTCACTTCTTGTCTTTCCCAGGTAAATTTCCTGCCAAACCATTCACCAGTTTATAGGGGAACAGTGCAGCTGGTAGATGTAAAGGAAGTGGGACAAAGAAACTGCCGATAGTACTATTGGGAGCTGCAAATTTGGTCCACACCAAGCATTTTAAAAATTAAAAAAAACCAAATCACCACCCTTTATATCATTACTATTGGGGTTTGAACCTCTCTGCTCTCAAAATCATTTTGGAAGAAATAATGTGCACAGCTATAACTTTTGCCATCAGCGGCTGTTCTTTCTCACTTTGTGTACGCTTCCATGGATAATACATCATGGAGCTGATGATTGTTCTATTCAAGCTCATCGTTCTAAATGAGCCTGGATCCACGTGTGGGAGAACCAGTAATGACATATGGCCACCACAGCTGCCTCTTTCCCATTTTGGAGCAGCTCTGACTTGGTTGTACCTACATCTCAGCAGACCCTGGATTTTAAGGGCAGTTTAGCACCCAAATCACACGCATGGGATTTAGAGCATGCAGTAGACTGACCACCTCTTCTCCCCGCGGAAGAACTGAGGAAGACCTGAGAGTGGCTTGATCCCACACCTGAGAAACCGCCTCTCCGGACACAGTTGTGCTAGCCTGCCCTCCCACTGCTCTCATCCTACTCTCTCCTGTGACAGAGATTACAACCACTTCTGAACAGCGAGCTCAGCTTCTCTTTTGAACCTCTTCATCCCACGCTGGCCAAAGTCCAAGTAAACAGCATGCACAGGAGGCTCTTGCCAGGGCATCTCATTTTGGCTGACCAGGTTAGGTACCATTCACACGAGCAGCTGAGCCTGCAGTCGTGAAGGGGCAAGTACCTGGGCTGGAAGAAGCAACAAGCCCTTCCACTGGCATGACTGCAGCTAGCTAGGGTGTGTGACCAGGTCTGAAGCACGAGTTAAGATGCACTTTGGAGCTGGTTCATGCTCCTGGAAAGTTTAGCGAGCATGTTCTGGTTGGCAGCACGTCTGTCCATAAATAAACACTGACTCAAATCTTGCTGGTCTATGCGTAGGTTTTGCAATCACAGTTTATGAATCTGACTGGAAATAGAGTTTCAAGTTGACACATACGCTGGGGCCATACCTAACTGGACAACATCATTATGAGGCTTTCTGACTCTTAGAAAAACAGAGCGAAGTGTAGCACCCTAAATCCACGCTGGCCTTGCATACTCGCCGCTTCATTCAATCTACCTCCATTGACAGAATTTCGGTCCTCCCCAGGTGCCCAGCTCTCCTGAGACTGCAACTGAAAAAAACGTGGAAACGGTACTGTGGGAAACAGCATTCAAGGCTGCTGCCTGAGAGTCAAGAGAGGCGCAGCACTATCCCTGAGACTGTGGTTTTCTTGGCTTTAGGTAAGCTAAGTTTCCTCCTCATGGACAGAGCAAGGTGATCCCACTCTGTGTTTACACTTCTGTCTGTTGGGCCTTTCCCTTAGATACTGGATGAAGCATCTAAGCTGTTTTCCCTTTGCTCTGCAAAAGAATCATGGGCTAGTGGCTTAGCTTTAATGGTATGAATGTTCCCACATGTCTGGGACTGTATTTTACATGTGACTGGGAACAGAATAACTTGTTTAATCAATACATCAAGGTCCTTTGTTTGATTAAGCTCCTATTTGCCTCCAGGCTGTTTTGCAGCAACAGTTTTATCACAGAAAATTGAGCAATGTGTTCTGCAGTTCCCATGACTATTCAAGTTATCCTTTAGCGTACTGGACACTGCCATGTCTTGGAGTGTGAGTGAGAAGCAGAGCTAGTGGTTAGGTGAAATATCTCCATCCAGCTCCAGCTCCTGACACGATACACCTCAAAGCAGGCAAGACAGGAGGTAAGTCCCCCCGCCCAAGCTAGCCTGGGACGGTGCACAGAGGTTTCCCCCCCTCCCACACTGCCCCCAACATGGAGAAACCGCTGCAGCGGAGAAGCCCCTGCTGAGGTGCCATGGAGATGAGCGTGAAGAGTTAACGGAGGGGAAGGCAGGAGGGGCCACCCTGGAACAAAGAGGTGGGAAGCAGAACATGCCTGTGAGCCCCAGGGGCTGAGCAATTACATTTGGCAGTGCTCTTCTGAGGCGGCTTTTTTTCTTGCTGCCCTGGGAATACAGTAAGAGCTGCCTGTTAGGAAAATATCAGATAAGAATTCCATGTAATTTCCAGCCCCTGAACAAGTGAACAACCTAAGATAAGTGTTTCCTCAGGCTTATATTTGATTTCTGTGGAAATCCATATGTGCTTAAGGGCCACCCACATCACACCAGTGCATACCTGTTGTTAAACTGGTATTTTGTATGAAAGCAAAGGCATAAATCCTTCATTTCACATGCAGGGTGTAAGCTGCATACTGCAAGAAGCCTCTCTGCAGCTGGCTGTTGTTCATCACACCTGGATGGACAGCCGGACCTGCACAGATTACCAGTGATGCTCTGTGAGACCCCCCAGCTACTCTCCTCCCTGCTGCCTGACACGTATTCCAGGCAGTCAGCTGCCACCTAACCTAAGGAAGTACCTGAAGGGATGGAAGCAGCCCTGCTGGTTTCAAAGGGAAGGAGAGAAGGATGGATGCCAGAGTTGCTGTGCTACTTATCCACTGCCTCTTTCCCAAGTCTTCAACCACCATTTATGTACTTGGCCTTAAACGTGTGCCGTCTCCACACACACCACTTAACACGGTGCAGAAAGAGCAGCTATTTCTAAGATTAGGCTACGCAAAGCTTGTCCTTAGCACTGGGCTGAGATACATCTATAGCAGCTTTGCTACCCACACCAGGCTGCATCAGGGCTCAGACACACCAGGGCATGCCTGAGGCTGGGTTGGGACCAATGAGGCAGTCTGGCTTGCAAACCTATGTCCTCCTGGAGATGTTTCGTTATATCTGTGTTGTGGTCGCTGGAGCAGAATCTCCATGGTTTCCTCCCCAGGGAAACCAGCTGCTTTTCTCCAGGATGGAACCTAGGAAAAGGCTAACAGGCACAAAGCAGAGAGGACAAGGGTGGCTGCAGCAAAACTGGGACCTAATGAATTTGACAGGACCTGTGGTGATGTGTATGTGTGCTAATTCCAGCTCTCCAACTAATTAACCTGGTTTCTGTGCTTTGCTGATGTGGCTGTATTGGTTTTGGGAAGCTTAAGCAGCTCTATCGTCGGTTTTATTTTGCAATATGGCAATGCTTTGTGGTGCACAGAAACTGGATACGTTCCAGGCACACTGCTTTAGCATGCCCCCTGGCCAGCTGCAGCCTCCTCTTCCATCGCCTGAAGAGAGGGCACAGCATCTTTTGAAAGGCCTCTTTTATCTTTTCAAGTTGTTCAGATACTCTCACATTTTGAGTTTTAGTATATTAGAAAAATAAATTTTATTCCTCGCTATTCTTATTTTTTTATATTATTATGTATAACTATTTATTAAATCAATTGCTACATATTTAGTAAATCATTTTTAATTGGTTTAATTTTAAACTTTTTTTCATAAAATTTCCATGCGCTGAAGGAGTGGAAGGGGAAGGAATAGTAAAGACCTTAGTAGGTTTGTTAACCCATAGGTTTAATACAACATGCTGGTTTTGAAGTAACATATACAAATATATGGCAGATGCATTACTGCCCACTACTCCTCCCTACAGAGAAACATGCATTTGGTCATTCAGTGCCCTGCTGTTAGCTAAAAACATAACATCACAGTCTGCAGAACAAAGGGCAAGCTGAGGCTGGCCATAGTTTTTCAGGGAGAAGTTGGAAGGGATATGGAATCTCCCAGCTTCACATCTTACCTGAAGAGACCAATCCATACAGGTGACGACACGATGCTTTGACCAGTGCTCATCATAAAACTGACGGTTAAAGGAAAGGTTGGCTCCTGCTTGAACATCTCTGTGTGAATTCAAAGAAAGTGACACTTTTTGAAGTGCCAGCATTCAGATGCTGTGAAAAGCAATGCAAAAGTTTCTGACTACTACTTCTCAAATCTCTGCCTAGCCTGGGGAAGTCTGCCACCTTGATTTACTTGCTCTCACTGACTGTCTTGCTGATAACAAATCCACACCAAGGAAGAAATTTTACATCTGTTTAACAAAACCGCATTTCTTAATTTCTCACTGCCTTCCTGACTCTTCTGGCTCACCCTGGGTCACCTCTGCCACCTCAGTCTCCCAGGACCAAACCTGGCCTAGGCATTCAGCTCCCCCTTTTCTGAATCTTCACCTCCAAGATATAACCAAATCTCTGTTATTTTTGATTCCTGAAATCCTAAAGTTACAGAACCTCCTCCCGGCGACAGAGATGGCAGATGCCTTCTGGGATCACTAGGATGAGCTGAAGCTCAGTGCTAATCCAACGCTGCCACACTGATGTATTTAGCCAGTTACGGGGGCGATGCTCTAGAGTAGCCTCCAGTAAGTACCTTCAGTGCAACACGGCTACTGGTTTGCCATGAGGCTTCAATGGATACGCAGCTGCTGAAATCTAAATACTTCCTCTTGTGCTAACAAGTTCTGCTTCTTTGACTTCCCTATCAATTGCTGAATGCACAACCTGTCACCTCTTGTCTTAGGCGTTTAGACTGCAAACACTTTGGGAGATGATCATTTTCATCCACACAATGCATTGCACAGTGGGATCCATTACTGAACCAAAGAAGTGGTAGAACATAAACAACAGCGATTTGAACTTGTAAAAAATATCATCATCCAAGCACACTGGAGCATACACATGTACATCTACACCTACATGTGTACACACACATTTACCTATTTCAATTATTAAAGTTTTTTCTTCAGAATTCAAAATTTCATCCCACAAAAATGAAACAAAAAATGAAACCTCCTGCATAACACATCAAAGAAAAAAACCCAAAGCCATAAAGCAAGAAACTATTTTACAAAGTAATTTAGGCTAACAAAGTGACCCAGGCCTTCACAGAGAGGTTTTAATCTTTTTTTAACTATAAAAACATTTGTTTAGTTTTAAAATTAACGTTTCATGGCATCCAAATTCTTTTTATAAAGGTTATTTTACAAAAGCAAACAAACCCCAAACTGACCCATCTTTCTCCTCGACATCTCTGCCACTGTAGTCGAAGAAGATGTCTGAATCTTCAGCCAAAGCTCGCTCAATTACACGTATTGTCCGGTCAAAAAATATCAGGAATTCTTCTGAATGGAGAACTTGCTGTTTTTCTTCTTCTGTCAGTTCTCTAGGAGGAGCTTGGAAAATGAAAAGATGCAGTTAAGAGTATGACATTTCACCCCTTTACCAATGAATCAACATCTTCAGTGGGTTTCCTTTGACATAAAAGCTTACCGTAGCAATGTCAGAACAAAAATCAAAGCTCTACTCTTAAAATCATGACTAAGAATTTTTTTGTATATCTAAACATACTCCTGTATATTCCCAGAATGTAGCATTTACATAGAGGAGATCGTATATCTTACATATTTATTATTCTGAAATGGAAAATACTTAAAATCCCCAAATTAAATAAACTCAGTGTTCCTATTTCAGGAAATGGCTGTGACTGACGTTTAGGCAACACCTAACTTGAAAAAGCAGAACACTTATGTAACAGGGGACCTGTCAGAGGAGCCAAAGATAAAATAATCTCCTTACCTCATACTACAGCTCTTTGTGTTAAAAGTGCTCACCTAATCTCTCACTTTACTTCTTCCCATTTCTCCTTGGCGTCACTGATAAATTCTGCCTTTGCCTTAGAGCTTTTGTGAAGCAATGAAGTAAATAACCAAAGACACTCTCTGAGGCAGCAAAATCAAAAGCAACCAACCAAGCACCAGTTTCTTTAAAGCAGTTTTATTCCTTTAATTCTTTTAATCCTTAGAGCCAGAGCAACAAATGCCACTGAGCCATGGCCAAAACTGCCCTGGGAGGGAGTAGGAGATGTCTCAGGCACTGGTCAGGATAGCCTGGCCCCCATGAGATGAAGTTGCTTTTTACATGTACACAGAGATGCTAAATCTTTACTTCCAAACCAGTATTTCCAGTATGGCCCTTAATTTGAAAAATACTCTCTCTGCAGGATGCACCTATGTCTCCATCAGCTGAATGAGCTGTTGGTAAATTCCAACCCAAATGTGAGCATCAGAGGGAAAGGCAATTGGGATGCTGCTATTGCTACGGTGCAAAGTTCTGTTGTCAGTTACCCTAGCACGGTTATATTGATACTGTAGCAATGCTGTATATTAATTATATATGTATATCAATTACTTGTATTTCAAAAAATGCCGTTAGTATCTTCACAGTTACACCAAACTAACCTTGCAGCTAGCTTAAATTGCCAGCATGTAAAGCTCTGTTGACATCACAGGAATTGTGCTAACAGAATTCTGTTCCAATTTTAGAACTAGATACACAAACAACATATCTTAAACAGATTTATTGCAAAATTACAAAGACTCAGAGCTTAACTGTTGATCCAAGGTCTCCTGCAATGGCTTCACACTACAGATTTGAGAGAGATGTTTACTTGTGAAAACACTTGCAGTCTACCTAGGCCATACTGGGTTAAAACACCAGCAGCCAAAAAAGGTAATTCAGCACAGTGCCTCAGAAAACACCCAGTACACATCAAAGTTTAACTCCCAGCTCTGTCATACATATCTTAATGTTTAATTAAACAATGAGTGACACATTTTAAGGTTGCAGTTTGAAAGTATTTTCCAGTTGCTGTGCCATGCCACACAACTACTTTCAGCTATGAGGGAGATGTAGCCCTTGCTTGTCGTCTGATTTTCCCATGGTTCACACTAGAATCATGAGCTGCAGTGCCCAAGTATGATACCAACACCAGCCCCAGGGGCAAGGATGGATTGAAAGGTGAAACAGCAGGCAGGAGTAGCGACACGGTCAGCATTAATGCAGTACCCCACTCCCCCAGTTTTCCATGTGCTTGCTTTCGGAGTAGTCCCTGTGGTTGGGAGAGGCTGTTATTGCCACATTTAGGTTTGCCTCAACTGGTCAAAGCGTTAGCTCTGAAACACAAAATCTCTGCATTACGCCTGGGCTAAACATAGAGGGTAAGAAAAATGCAAAAAGTGAAGAGGCAATTTGGTCCTCAGGAGACAAAGCGGCTAAGAAGTTAGAAACTTTAGCCTTTGATGATCTCCTATGGCCTTGGCCCTATGCCTCTTACCACCAGGTTAGTGGTCCCTGTGGAGCTCCACACATCCAGAGAATATCTACGTCCCCCTGCACATTCCCCCTGAGTAGCAGAGCAACAATTACCAAGGCAGGAGCACAATTTGCCTCTAAGTGCTTTAGACAGAAGAAATGCATGTGAAAAAAAAGAATGACTAGCAAGAGGTACAGGTTGACCTATTGCAGCATCCACTACTGAATAGTAATTGGCATTAAGGGAACTTGTCTGGCAAGGAGGCCTGTAATGAGGCAATATCCCACTGTCATCACTAAAGCATCACTTTCCGAGAATCAGAGACAAGAAGCATGACAGTGCAGCAAAATGGCATAAAAGGGGAGAAAATAACTGCAAAGGCAACTGGAAAACTCATTTTAAACTGCTCCAAATGGTAAAAATTATTTGCTAAATCAAATCCTCTCTACAGCTTGGAAATTTAAATTATTACTCGGCCATTTGCCAAGTATAACTGGCAAAGAAAATACAACCAAAAATCAATAGAAAGGGAAAAGGCAAAAGTAAACAGGTTGGGAGCTACAGAGTGTTCACAAGCAATGGAGACACACATGATTGCAGTTCTACCTCAGCAAAATCTCCCTTGCAGTTAGCAATGATCTGTGGGAGGCCAGCAGTCTATTAAACCCTCTTCGGCATCAGAAACACCTTGGCTAAAGTTTGTAGGGCATAAATCAGCTTACCTCATTCATCTGACTGACACACCAGATGCCCCCTGGCGATATTAAGCTTCATATTTTAACCTTATTTTCTTCTTTCATTCGGCTGCCTCTGATGTTTTATTTGAGGCAATCTCTTCTTAGAAGAATGTTAACATCATTACTTTTCCCAGTGTAAAACATTGCTGTAACTACTGCAAATACATGAAGCATAGGCAAAAAACCCCAAAACACATAGGCTTATTCTTTCACATACAAAGGTTTTCTAACCATTTATCTTTCAGAGCCACTTCCATTTTCCCTTTGCTCCTTCTCCCTGTCTGTCCATTACCTTGAATAAAATAAAAAGAATCCATGTAATTTTCTGCAATTTTTCTTCCTATCTGGGAGCTTACAGTTACTTTGATCTGAGCTTTCAAGAGACACAGGTTCTCTTCAAGGAAAACTCTCAGAAACATAAGTAACTGATCAAAGTATTTTTTGTTTTGTTTTGTCACAGAGACCTATGTGATGTGACAATATCTTCAGAAATTCCCTGTAAGAACACAGCATTTGTCTTCAAGTATCTGCTCTCCCTGGCATAAAAAACAAACAAACCACATCTAAACTTCCATGTCTAACAAAGCCTAGTGAGATGCTTAGCTTAGCAGTGCTAAAAGTTACGTGCTTATTGCCTGGAGTGCAATGAAAGCTCCTGCAAAGGAAGAGCCATCCTTTGCTCTTGTTCCTACTCGGTAGCTTCGTAATGAACTGTTGTGCTTGTGATCCGCTTCTGCCCAGAGGAGCTGAACCCATCCGTGGCCCCTCAGCTCACCCACGGTGCAGCCACCAAGTTCTGGCTAACAGGTCCACTGGACATCCCATCTATCCACCGACTCACTGAAACATTGGTGGAATTGCATATCCATAAGCAGCACCCTGTCCAGGTGGCTCTGGGGTTATAGTGCCAACAGCATGTATCAAAGAAGCCCTGTACTCACGCTACTGTATAATACTGTACACAATAAAATGGAATTTACATTTAAAATTAAAACACTGTGCAGTTATATATGCACGGAGGACACCGCAGGGGAAGAAAATTGCAAGGTATATCTGTAATGAAAGACACTGTACACTTGCGCATGAACAAAAAGGTCTAGAATATGTAACAAAAATTGAATGTGACATGAAACCAACAGATTTATTCAACACTTGTTTCTGAAAAATAAGAGCATTTTTTAATTTCACATGTGATTTAACATGACCCTCAGAAATACCATATTTCACATCAGGTCTTTTGTCCACAAATTTCCTTGGACAAAACAGAATACAAAATTTGTTATGAAAACATTTCCTTGGATCTTTAGGAACTAAGATAAAAAATGCTGCAGACTTGTTCTTATCTGGCAGAAACAGGTTTGTAGTAAATATAAATAACTCTGATAACAGTGCAGCATCAAATTCACAAATATTTAAATACTAGGATTCAAGTCTTCTCTCAAGGGATCCAAAAAGTTATTTAAACCCACCCCCACCCCCCCAAAAGACCATCATTTAAATAAGTATAATAGAATATAAAAAATATTCTCCTGGAAAAAAAGCAATTGTAAAAACTTGACAAAAAAAAATGAAGTCCATTAAAGGCAAAAAACCAAAAAAAAAGAATAGAAAGAGTAGGTGAATGAAAGAAAGGGTGAACTAATAAAAACAGTAAAGCAGGAAGCAGCCTTGTTAAGAGCCCAGAGATATAACGAGAGACAGAAGGAGATTAGTAAAAGCCTTTTAAGAGCTGTATTATTTCTTTCAGCATGCATTTAAACCCATGTAAACTGTAGATGTGTTGATGGCCAAGGATGGTAGAGAAGTACAGCGTGAGAACGGCAAGGTGAGGAGCTGTTCTGGGCAGCTTTTAGCTTTTGTCTGCCTGTAGCTTGCTATCCTCTTTTTTGCTTCTTCTCACTTTCACATCAGGCTTGATATATGCTGCATCCTGGTTTATATGTGCCATACCATGGTTTGATATATGTCATATCTTGGTTGTGAGTTTAAAATGCAAGCCCCTGCATGGCATAATTGCTGGACATAGAAAGGGAGATTTTAAGGTACATTTAGGGATTTTTTTGGTTCTGGAGTAGCAGAGTCCAGAGCCTTAAATTTGAAGCCAGGCAGGGCTGTTCCCATTGACCGTGCTTCTCCAGGTGCTGTGCGGAGCAGCATCCTTCAGCACACCTTAGCCTGGCTATCAGGATGGGCCAGCACACCTGAGCTAGCTGTGTTGTCAGCAGCAGTGAAACTGTTGCCTTACAGGTTGTTACGAACCTCAGAGATCACAAGGGCAAAGCTGGCAAACTTGCCCTGCTTCTCCGATACTGATGCCTGAGCTGGTGAGAGCTGAACCGTCACCCCAGCCCCGCGCACAGGGCCAGGCCAAGAGGGGGACACAGCATACTCTGAAGCTGCACATCCCTGCCTCCCTCATCACAGCCTTTCAAGCAAGTTTTGGTGGATATATCCATGGCTGCAGATAAATGCAGGTGGAGGCCCACTTTCAAGACCCAGCTCATCCCGCTGTTCATGTGGTTTCCACTGACACAAAGAGGTGCCTTGGGTGGAGCTCCAGAGCTCCCTGGTGGTGGAAAGCCCCAACCCACTGGATGCCACAGTCTGGGACCAGTCTCTTGTTTATGCGGTCAGGAGAGGCTGGGAATAGGCAGAGCCCTGTCCAGTTCACCAATAGGTATCCCCCACCTGGCTCTTCCAAGGATGGCAGGGACACCTGAGACAAGTGTGACAACAGGCAGCTCTGTGGAAGAAATACAGGGGGCTCCCAAAGCTTCATATTCTTCGAATGGTCAATAAGCCAGGTCTTATCTCCCACCCTAGAAACACTTAGGGGGGGCTCAAGCCTTCTCTGCCCTTAGCACCTCCATGGCACTGAAGTGCCTCAAGGCGTTGTGCCAGGCAGGCTGTCCTATTGCAGGTGCATTGTGTGCCTTACGGTGATGCTGAGACAGGTCCAGAACTAGGGTCAGACCCTGCTAACAACCATGACTGCTGAATAACCCCACCAAACCCCACAGATCAACTCTGGGGTGTGCAGGGGGAAGATGAGGAAATTAAGCATGCAATAAATGTCTGTAAAATTAAATCGGGCTACCTATAAACCACACAGAATAAAAAAATCACATTTCCTCTTAAAAAAAAGTTATAAAAATAGAGCACTCCTGTCCTGTTGGCTTGGGGAGAGGGAGACCGAAAAGACTGGATCTTAGCTTTATTTTTCATCCGGACCTATTTTTGAGTTATATTCATGAAAAAAATTGTCTGCCTTTCTCTCCAATGGCTTTTTTTCTTACACTCCTGTAACTCAAAAAAGGCCATGCTGATTTTTTTTAATCTGTTAAAAAAATGTGCTCCCTGAGCTGAAACCAAATTTCAGCCCAGAGCAAATTTTTACGGCTGGGTTATAAATCCCTGAAAAACAGGATTCATAATGGAAGTGCTGACACAGCCTTAACTACTATATAGCAGTGTGAATGGCGCCACTATAATATCTATTAGAGATTCTTTAAAAAGTTTGCAAAATATTGTCTTGCCTTGCAGAGAAAGAGAAGCCAGAGTAATTAATGCCAACATAAACATGCTTTTAACCCATTATGTGCTAATTTGCAGAAAAGCTATTAATTCTGAGTAGGCACACAGAGTGCAGCACCGACAGGAAATGTTCTTCTAAACTCCTGTTTGACTTGTAACATGGTTTTAATCACTTCCATGAAACACAAATGATGGCTTCCAACACTGAATGTTGCTCAGAACATGAGAAGGGTGATTACAACAGAGAGGAAAACAGAATTTTGTTGGCGAAAAGCGCTAAAGCCAACGGGGAGAGAATGACACCAAATGCTAAAAAATGGGACTGGGTTCCCTGTCATTTTGGGGATGACTGCTTCATTTGATTCACAGCATTTAATGCCAGTCATCAGCACACACTATTTTATCCGTCACAACATGTACTGCAGGTCAAGTTCACTTTCTATCAGGCAATGAGAGTATGTTCTTCTTTCTTGAACCCAGTCAAGTGTTAGCACCTCACAAAGCCGGTTCTGCTAAAACAAGCTGTGCCTTGCTTTTACAGCCTGCAGTTTGTGTGTCTGAGACTCTGCTAAACCAGCCCGGTTGATCTACTGTCTCTGAGGGGACTGCGAGGCAAGAAGGGGAGCACTGCTCCGAGACTAACACACAACAAAGAAAAGATTTTGGTGGTGGCGCTTGGTCAGCAAAGTACGTAAAAGGCTAACTTGAAAGCCCACAGAAAAGTGAAATAAATCAGTTCAGGAATGTATTTAGGGTTTTTTTTTTTTTTCTCCTCATGCAGTAGTTTGTGCTCCAGGTTACTTTTACGTGGAAATAAATAAGGGTGGGATCACCTTAAGCTGAATAGCAGAGGGACATGCAGCAACTCAGGACAGTATGTAAGTGCAGTGACAGCAGTTTTTATGGCTTCCTGTTGTCATTAGTAAAAGAGATACTGTGTTAGGTCCAGTGTTAGCCCGTATGCAAGTTCACCCTACAGTTTTGGAGGAAGAACAATTTTTAGGAAAAAGTTTTTCTATGTTGCCATGTTTCTTGCTCATGTTTTCAGTTCTGCCTTTGCAGACTCCTTTGTCACTCCTGTTCCTGCTGCCACTGCTGCTCCCAGTGCTCCCCTCCACCCATGGCAGAGGTGGCTGGGGACCATGGGAGAAGCAGAAGGATGAGGAGTGGGAGGAATGAGTTCCCTGCTTTGTGTTTCTACAAGGACCTAATGAGCAATGGACACTGCAGGATTTATGGCATGGGTGGTTTCTATGGTGCTCTTGAGAGGGAAGAAAGATCATTTTATAATCAAAACAGCATTGTTGGTATTGCAATTCACTTCAGTGTGTGAGGATAGCAAATGTAGGCACTATACAACAGGCTCAGGTATTTTGGACACTGATGTAAATCATGCCAGGGTCCCCTGGATGAGAAAGGAGCATCCACTGCTGCATTCATAGTTAATGAATTCAGAGGCTTTTCTGTAAAGCAAGTCCATACTTTTCCCCTAGTGACATTACCTTGTGAAAAACAAAGCCAAGGTCACAGAATCATCCTGATAGTGACTTAGGCCTTACCTGAGGAAGTCAGTTACCTTTCAAGAGGGTAAACAGTGTTGTGAACAGTCCTGGCAATACAGAGCTAAGAAATGCTGGAGAAGAAACTTGTTTCCTCTCATACTGGAGCTGCTGATATTTCAGCTCTTTTCCCCACACTCCACATGGGGGTGAGCACTGATCACTCCAAGTGACACACCAGAATAGCTAATACTCTAGTAAATTCCCAGATGAGGAAGACCAAATTTCATGTATCTCTTTCAACTACAAAGGCTAGAACAGGTCCAAGAGAAGCAAACGTGTGACACCTAACATATCTAGTGTGTCCAGTGCTGACATGCACAACTTGGGCAAGTGTCTCTTGTCTGCACCAGAAAGAAGGAGTAACCTGAATTTTTGTCTCTGGTAACCCTGGAGAGTGTCTCAGTCCAGAGGAATGGACAGAAGGGATGGACCTGCCTGGCTTCAGTTTTGACCTTAAGTTCCCTTGGAGCAGCTTCCACAAAAAGTTTTTATTTTGAAAGTCAACATTTTCCAGTGAAATGGTTTTTTGCTGGAAGATTCTTGACCACCTCTAGGTTTAAGTCTGCCACTCTCATGCAGGCAGACAATTATGGGCTCTAAGTACCTTTTAAGACCAACCAACTTTATGGAGCTGCTGGAATGCCTGGCATTCACATTTTAAATCACGTAAGCAGGCTATTTGAGCCAGAGGACAAGTAAGCACCAGTCCTGGAATCCAAGAATCTCTACATTGTTCCCAAATTATAAGGACATGTACCTTCTTTTAAACAGCCAAAGTCTTGTGCCTTTCTCAAGCTTCTCAGACCTACCAGCTGGGTAGCTGGGATACAATTTTCTGCTTGTATGCCACTCATATGATTTTGAATCATTAAAACTGGCAACTGTTTCAATTTTGCCATGTTCTCAATAATGGAAACTACCTATGAGAATAACTACTTGCAGGATTTGGTCCTTCAAAGTTGTAACAAAATCCTTTTCATTTTTTAAGTACCTTCTTTCACTTCCTGCTTCTGGTCTTGATTTTCTGTCTCCAAGTCATCCTGTGCTTTTGGTTCCACCATCTCTTCATCATCTTCATCCTCTAAAAAAAAAAAAAAAAAAAAGTTAAAGATTTGTGATATTCTCCTCTTTAAGGGGGACAGAAATAGTGTATCATTTTTACAATTATAAACTGGTAGTAAACACAGGTAAAGCAAAGTGCACAGTAAATCAGAACCTCTACATTTATACTCAGAGTGACACTCTCAGACACCTCCCCCCGGACTGCAAGATAATCTGCTAACACTGGGCACCTGTCACTTCTGCTCCCTGTCGCAACTTCCCATCTCAGATGTCAGCGGAATATCTCCCTGACCTCGGAGATGACTTCTTGGATGGCATAAGAACAGATGCAATCATGTTTCAGCCTGGCAGCTATTCCAGCGCTGGGACACCTGCTATCCAGACACCTCATTTCCAATTCAATTCTCACCAGATTAATTTGTCTTTTGACCTACAGGAAGGGGTTAAATAGAAATCTGACCTTAGGTCAGATGCCACTAGCAAGCAAACAAGCAAGGTACAGTTCTGAAAAGTCATCACCATCAACTGGGGGAACACAGCAACCAAAAGTGGCACTTGGAGCTTAAGAACCATTCTTGCATTAATACGAATTTAATGAACACTAAAATTTGACACATGTCAGTTAGTACTGCCAGATGTTTTAATGACCTTTCCTGACCTATGCAAATGCCTCTCTCCCTTCCCCTCTCTCCCCACACTCACATGTTCTCATTTTATTCAGGAGGGCAAACCACTCATTCCTTGATGTCTGTCTGAAGTTACAAGGGTTCTGATTGTCCAGACCAAAACATAATACAAGCAGGACTGGAAATACAGTGAGGCACTGAAGTGGCTCAAACCCTACCTAACCCTCATAACTTGTTCCCAGCTACAGCAATGTGATTCATTCTCCAGTGCCCAGGGCCGGCACTCACACTCTTGAAAGGATAGGGATGCTAAGCCTTCTAGATTCAGTGAACTACCTAGCCTGAAAATAGAGCTGGTCCTAAAGAAGCTGTGAATGCCCCATCCCTGGCTGTCTTCAAGGCCAGGCTGGACAAAGCTTTGAGCAACCTGGTCTAGTGGAAGGTGTCCCTGCCTGTGGCAGGGGGGTTGGAACTAGATGGGCTTTAAGGTCCCTTCCAACCCAAACCATAGAATCATGATTCTGTGATTCTAAAAGAGTGATTTACAGTGATTAACAATTAGGATGAGCAAATTCATGGGCTACAGAGGAATTATTTTGGAGTGATTCAGGAGCTTGATGCACCATCAAATCACAGCAAGCACCACTGGTGCCCTGGGTCAGTCCATCGCATGACAGCACACATGTTGTCCTGGCCCTGGGGCACCCACTACAGCAAACCCACTACAGCTTCTTTGGGGTTTTCTAAGCAATCTGCCTGTCACCACACGGTTACTCGTGACAGGGTGCTTCTCTAGGCACACTCCCTGCTCTAACACCGCCACGCTAACACAGCCTGGAAGTGGGCAGGGGGCAACACGTCATGCTTCTCCAACTGCTCGGCTACTGGTACCTTCTCCTGCGAAGGCTGGCTCCAATCAGCCCTCGCTTCTTGGGGAGATGTTGGTGCTGACAGGTTGCATTCCGCCAACAGTAACACGCAGCTGTATTTTGTTTTCAAAAACATAATAGGCACCGTACTATTCCCTCCATGTTGCCTACCCTAGGACTTCTCCCCCTCAGAAGCCCGCAGAGCGCATGTTGCTTGCTGACATCTTGGCCAGAGAGCACAGCTTAGCCACATACCATAAGGCAGTGTCTCAGCATGGACGGATATGCTTTGTCCTCTTGGGAAAACCAGGAAATCTTGGCATAAGATCTGCCATTGCTCCCCCTACAGCGAGGAGAAAGGGAAAGATGGGCTCCCTAGCTGTCAGGGAGGAGGGATAACCACGTGCTCCCCAGGCTGGGAAGCGAGGAGCAATCCAGCATGGAGGGGGAGGCATTTCCAGAACTAAAAGCACTATTAATGAATGACACCCCTTTATCAGGGATTTTTCAGAGCATGACACTTGGAATGGAGAAAAGGTAGGGTATTCACCATGCCTCCCTTTGGTGCCTCACTTGACAATTACATTTTCCTAGGTACCCTGCACAGAAGGGCTATAGAGAAGAGCTCTTAGAGAGCAAACCAGGGCATTACCCAGTTCGGCAGGGTAAATGCATTGCTCTGTCCACTGGCTCAAAGATGGGTAACATCTGACACAATTAGCAGAGGGTCAGTGAGAAAAGCTCTCTTGCTCCACACACATAGGATGGGTAAAATAAAGGTCCTTTTGCCATCCGTCTGTGGTGCTAGCAGAGATGGGGATGTATGAAAGAGAGAGGCACTCCCAGTTTCAAAGAACAGGTGAGAAGTGTGAGAAGAGAGAGGAGTGACCCGCGCAGCAGGGAATGAATGCTCTGCTAACCTCAGGTACATATGCACACACAGATAGGATCGCAATGGTGTGCAGATATATGCACACAGACACGCTTATGGTAGATACCTAATGAAGCCAACTCCCACAGGAGTTTTGTGAGTCTTGCCTTACAAGTTTTCATTCCCTAGAGCACCAGCTCTTGGAGCCAGCTGTTTACATATGGATTTCAGCTTCCATTTTTAATCTGTTTCCAGCCTGTTAGCTTGTGCGGGGAAGTTTCAGAAGGGGAAGGGCTTGAGAAAACTTGCATGCAGGAAGCAAAAAATAAACCAATATTTAATTGACAATCTTGGGATTTATAAGGCAGCATGCTATGCTTTTTAAGGCCTCACTTGTCATCTGGTAATGTATAGGGACCATGTAACAAATGTAGAACTTGACATTTAGTAGTGGGTTTTCAGACTGAAGTCATGCAAATTTATTCCTGACCCCTAGAAGTCCTTGATCTCCTTGATTTTAGGTGTCAAATTGTTTGCCTGCCTACAGCTGGTTCCTGCTTCTAAAGCACAGTAGGAATGAATGGCTGGGGCACAGCTGGAGCAGGGGGATGTACTGATTCTTCAGCACCTACTGAGGTGAATCTTCTTTACTTCCCCTCCTTCCTCTTCTGGGAACTCCCTACATGTCTCTAAATTTAATTGCAGCAGGAAAAATAAGTAAAGGTTGTTACAACACATGCCATGCCTTTTTCCAAGGGCACACACATTAATAAATTAGTTGTACTGAGAGGCAGTGGCACGTTTTTAGCAGGTTACACACAGTTCAGATGTCCTTATTTATTTACAGAGACACACAGAAACTCAGCTAAAAGCATAGTAAGAGTTGTGAGACAAATGCTAAAATGTTAGCAAATTTGGATTGCCTGGGCACGATTAGCTCCTTCCCCCTCCCCACGTGTAGGCATGATGACATCATTCTGGAATTTCCTCCCTCTTGAGTGCTTGGCCTCATTTTCTGGGTGCTCAACAAGAGACACCTGGGGCATGAAACACAAAAGTGCTGAGAGCTGAAGTCAACTGGCCCTGTGCTTTGAGTGAAGAGAGTGCCAGGGAAATGCTACGCGTGCGAAAGCTCCCACATCTCTCTCTCAGCTTTCACTGAAAGTTGTCATTCTGACATTTTTGTCCTTTTTTCCCCCTCCCCCACTCCCCGTGCTTCGGTGCTTTTGCATGGTGCCAATTATATTGTGAAGATAAGAGTGTTCTCACCCTGCACAGATGTGTTCTTCACGATTTGGGGCATATTTAGATGCTGCCATGGGAGCAACAGAGAAATAAGAGCTCAGAAGGGGATTAATATTTTCTGTGTTCAGTGTAACACTAGGACCATGTGCATTAACATGAGATGTGAGGCCAGAGCACCAAATGGAAGAAGATAGAAACCGGAAGGGTTAATAAACTGCCTCCCTGTTGATTGGCTGAAACAGAAATCTGTTAACATAAAAACCCCTACACATTATCATGTAATTAAAACTGTATCATCATACATATTCAGAAGGGCTAATTAAGGATGCTCAGGAAGCCTGCATTCTAGAATATCCAATATTGCTTGGCTTTGCAACCTGAATGTTTATGTGCCTTTTTATTTTGATATTGTGCACTACCTAGTTTCTAGTATTACATTGGTACCTACCAATGTACGCACACTTACACATGTGCACAGTACATACATTTGCTATTGTGCCTAAGTATGGTTATGCATCTGTGCATTTCACCGTGCACATACACATACATTACAGAATAATGGGAAATGCTTTGGCATTCATTTTCCTGTGTTTTACCTAAATGTGAAAAACATTTGCTGTACATTTACTGGAGAATCTGTGAGCATCCATACGGTTATCTGATTCTACATGTACCTAAGCAGATTGGATGTGCCATTGCAGCAATCGCCCAGGGACACAAATTCACTTCTTTAGTTCCTGAACACAAATAGCCTTTCCCTATTTAAGAGAATATCTGACATTGGGAAGTTTAGAGAAATAACTTTTTTAACTGCTTACATCACAGTAGCAGGAGTCTTCCAGTCACATTTGGCAAGCACAGAGCTGCTACTAGCACCAGTAGTGTTACACCCTGTTCAGAAGATCTAAATCAGAACCCAAGTGTCTATTAAAGGAACCACATGAAAAAGAGCTAGTAATGAAGAAGTGTATAGCTACTGTGGAACACTTTTCCTTTGTAGATCTCAAAGGACTTTGCAAGGAGGCCAGTTTCATTATGCCCATTTACCACGCAGAAGCTGATGGATAGACCCACTCACTGTAGATCAGCCAGTAGACCAGCAGCCGTGTGAAGAACAGAGGGTTGGCTTCAGAGTTTCAGTCTAGATTCCTGCCCACTAAGGCCACCATGCCTTTTACTGTAAATAAACAATTCCTCAATGGAAACGATCATTAAATTCTTAGGTTAAAGATGTTTGTCTGTTGAAGCCCTTGGAGCCATATGTGGGATTAATACAGACTGACATAGCTGGACCAAATACCGTTTCTTCCTAACTCAGAACTTGATGAGTCTCCAGGCTCAAGGAGGTGACCAATCAGTCCTAACAGTGCTTTGTTTAACACAATGAAGTAAAAGCAGAGCAATTGTT